AAATGATTTTTTTGAATTTCAAAATGGTTGCTTCAATTCTTCCACATTGCCATCTTCGACTACGATAAAAAAGACAACTTCGTACTTGCACTTCAAGAAAAGTTTGAGAGAGCTGCCAGTCGGCGAGTTCCTTTGTTAAAGAGAGCCACAAACACCAAAAAAGCTGTTTTCGAGATGGGTGGGAGCTGAGACGCGCACAAAAACAATAGTACAAAATCATCAGATGCCCAACACCGTCGTGTCTGTTACGAAAGCGTGATCAAGTGTAGAGATAGGCGTGACAAATTTTCGAGAAAACCAAGCAATGATTATTTGTAGCACTGCTGTTTATGCATGATCTTTATGGTTTGATAGAAGACTCAATGTATGTCGGAAACGTGCTAATTTATCGTAAGGATTGCTTCTAGAGTCCTGATCATGATCGGTTAGACCTTATTAATTTCAAGCATTTCAAAGCGTTTAATACGCTAAGCTGCAAAGTCTCATCAATTTTGATAGTTAAGTGGTTAGATTTTTAATAAACTAGATACTCAGACAACTGACCAGAACTTCGGCAGATTTGGGAAGGTTCCGCCGAGTCACCTGCGGAAGTTCCGTAAATGTGCAGAAGTTCTCAAATTAGGTGCCGCGGAAGTTCCGAAAATCGCGAAATAGCAAAAGCGAACACTTAAGCGAGATTGAACCTTACCCTTTTAACTGGAGACCCACTCACTACCCTCTGCACCACGGATAAGATGTTCGACGATGCTGGCGAACAACATCGTAAGAGACAACCGATCAAAGTCCTGCAGAAGTACTGGCAGGCCAAAGTGCTGCGGAAACACGGCATTTTTCGGAATTTCCGCACGCTTATAAAAATCCTGCGGCTGACATGAAAATCTTGCGGAAGTTCGGATTTCCATCGCTTCCACTTTTGTAATAGTAAACAAAGTCCTGCGGAACCACTGCAAACTTGGCTTGTCTTGCGGAAGTTCCGGTGAATTGTCTGAAGTCGCTACCGCTGTTTTGTTAGCTAACTTCTGATATGGCCTTCTTCATAGGAAAATCACGTACTACGCAACAATCTAGTCAGCGACGCTCACGCCATCGTTTGATTACATAAGGTTAGAAAATGAAATTGTAGGGCAGAGTTCCTTCATATTACGCCGCGTGCGCCGCGTGCGCCGTTCACGCCGCTGCAGCGCAATGTATGCTTGAGAGTATGTAAAAAAAGGAGAGTATACGCCCAATAGAACATCAAATAAAAGTGGAGCTCTGCTGCCGTGAGCATACTACATTGCGCTGCAGCGGCGTACGCGGCGTGCGCGGCGTAGTATGAAGGAACCCTAACAGTAGGGCTTCACGCTTTAGTAGCGCGCTTTTGAGTTAATATAAGACATAAAAAACTGAGATGAAGATACACTATAGCGAAGTGCATCCTAGTTAGACAACGCACAGACCAAAGAAAAAATTGCCGGATGTTAGTATCGTGATCCCTAGCGCAAACCTTGCTCTGCCGCCAATTCCACTGCGTCCTTGAAACTGGACGCCGCGTCTTTGAACAAGAAGAACTCTAAGCACACATCGCGATTATGATTTTCATTTCTTTATAAGTTTTTTTGATGCTTCGCTTTTCTTAATCCGAAGTTATTGAAGATTTGCATGTGATATCCCCGTGGAGAGGAAGTTTTCGGCCACCTGATGCGCAATGGATGATAATGTGAGCCTTTTGAATTTGTCTTTGTTTTTTGCTAAAATCTTTACCGCTACTTGAAGGACTGAGTTATTTTGCAGACCTTTGCTGCAGAATCGTCCTCATCAGGAACAAATGCGGCTACCTCATCTTGCTCCAGTCCTCCGGTAGGAGTTTTTCCGCTATAACTTCTGCCTGTTGTAACTGTTCAAACTTATATCACGTGGTTGAAAGTCCAACCAATTTTTTAACTCGTCTGTCTGCTTCTACGTATCTCATGAGCAACAAAGTGGTCAACTTTGATCATATATTTTCGTTTCTCAAAAAGCAGAAGAGCTTTGACCTTATATACCTCCTCTAGGTTGACAGATTGTTGTAAACAGTGGCCGCAATGGCAATATTCCAGAACTTCCATCTCACGCTTTTGATTTACTTGTGGCTGAACTAGTTTTTTGCCTGTGCGGGGTAAAACTCACATCTACAGACTTTTTCAAATGTGCATTCGAGTATGCGGCGAAGGTGATGCCTGGGATTTTGAATCGAGGAACGTGAAAAATTGAGAAATAGAATGTGAACATTACTTTTTTACATTTTTTGGCGCTATTCCACTTTAGG